GAAATAGGTCCACCAGCACATTCATATATATTGCCAAGTATTTGCATCTCTCTCTTAAGATACTTGTGATCCTTAGCTGTATCTCAAATACAGGTCTGACAGGACAAGTTGTCGAGGGCAGTAAATCCCTATTTTTACTTAGTGTAAAGCAGGAAGAAAATTTTTGAACTATATATACATTTTTTATTAATCCGCTATTTAAAAATACATCAACATGACATATAGTTTGAGTTTGGTTTTCAAACAAGTGAAAAAACTTCATCTCATGTCTTCCCTGACTTGAGTTGAACTTCATCTTACTAAATTGACACAATTTAGAACTGTAATCTACTTTTGGGAATATTTCACATGTAGAATATAAGAAATTTGACAGCATTACAAAGGTTCAGGAAGGTAGAATGTAGAAGAGAAAAAAAGAGGGGAAAATTGGTATATATGCACATTATATTTGTGTATACATACATTTTATCTAGAAGTTTGGTTTTCTATAATAACTCAGAATATCTGGTCAGTTAGCTAAATCTATGTAGTTCCAAAATCGTAGGCTAGGTCTGACTAGAAAGGGCCAGGTGAAAGAGCTGAGAAGAACTCAAAAGAATGCTTTAAATAAATACGTATAGTAGTCACCCACAGTTAAGAATGCAATTGTTGCATGAATATAGCTGTAGGTCTATAGCTTTATATTAAATCTTATTCCAAGACATGAGAAGAAGCAGAGAAAAAAATAGACATATATATGCACAAAAGGGATGATATCAAGTAGCACCTTCCCACCACTCATAAACACAATTTATGATAATCCTATACACATTCGGTATTGCTCTGCTTGTGGGTTTGGCTGATCTGGTTCGGTTTGGTTTGGTTTGGTTGTTTTTTGGTTTTGGTGGAGAGGAGTTTGGAGCTTTTGGTTTTGTTATTGGGGTTTTGGTCATGTTACTTTTTTCTGCAGGGAAATCAATCAGTTCCATCAAAAATCTTCAAAGCCAGTATATAGTCTTGATGTGGCAGTGGGAACTTGAGAATTTATGTATTTCGCCTGTATGCAGAAATCAGAAAACAGGTGTTATTCCAGGTTTTAGGGAATTGGTCTCCTAAAAGGCTTACATCCACACACTTATCCATTACAGATAATTTTGAAATTTCCTGGCAAGATCTGTTTTTCTACTTCCACAAAAGTTGTTTCCCTTCAACTGTGTCCCAGGATCACAGAGAGGTTAAATTTGGAGGGGACCTCTGGAGGTCCCTTCACCTTGTCAAACAGGGACACCTAGAGCCAGTTGCCCTGGACTGTGTAGAGGAAATTTCTTAGTAGAGCTGAAGACAGAGACTTTGTAACCTCCACGGGGAACTTATTTCAGTGTTTAGCCACCCTCAGAGCAAAAAAGACTTTCCTCATGTTCAGGTAGAACCTCATGTGTTTCACTGTGTTCCCATTGTCTCTTATCCTGTCACTGGGTACCTCTGGACAGAGCCTGGCTCAGTTCTCTTTGCACAACCCCCTTTCAGGTATTTATATACATTAATGATATTCTCCTGAGGCTTCTGTTCTCTAGGCTAAAGGGTACTAGCTCTTTCAATCCTTCCTCATGGGAAAGATGTTTCAGCACCGTAACTATATCTTAAGTATGTCCAATAAAAGAACCCAGAACTGAACCCAGCACTTCAGGTGCTGAATAAAGGGAAAGTATCACGTCTCTCACACCTGCTGATAATACTTCATCTACTGTAGCTAAGGATAGCATCTGTTTTGTTTTTGTGGCAAGGGCACATGGCTGATTCATATTCAAACTGGTATCCTCCAGAATCCTGGGTACTTTTATTTGTATCTGCTTTCCAGCTGGCCAGCCTCCAGCGTGTAATGGTTCATGAGGTTGTTTCTCCCCAGGTTCTGGACTCTGCATTTCCATTTGTTGAATTTCCAACTTCAAGGGATCCCTTCATGTCAGTACATTTCTCCAGCCTGTAAATGTCCCTTTAGATTGCAGGGATACAACTCTTGGGTCTATCAGCCAGCTACTCTTCCCAGCTTGGTGCTGTCTGCAGACAACATGAGGGTTCACTGTACCCTATCATCTAGTTTTTAGTAAAGATATTAAACGGGACTGGACTCAGTACTGATCCACTAAGGTACAATCCTATAGACTCTTGCCAGTGATTACCACCCTCTGGGCCTGGTCCTTCAGTCAGTTTCCACCATCTGCTTATCCATCCTTTACAGTAGCAGCTGCTCTATGATGTTCTTACGGGAGACAGTGTCCCAAGTCTTAGCTAAGCCAAAGTAGACAATGGCACTTGCAATAGACAGTTACCTCAAAACAGAAATTTTTCAAGTAGGTCAAGCATGGCTTCCCCTAATTGAAGTCATAGTGACTACTTCTGAACTCTTATATCTGCCTGAAAATGGTTTTAACAACCAGCTGCTCTGCCCCCTTCTCAGAGTCCAAGATGAGGCTGACTGGCTTCTCACTGCCTGGCTCCTGCCTCTTAATCTTATTAAAGAAGGGGCTGACAATTTACAAGTGGGGCCTTGTAAAGACACATTCCAGCTCCCATTGCACTTGTGGGTGCATCCTGTCAGGGCCCATAGGCTCAGGTATATCCAGTTCGATTCAATCTGACCTGATTCTCTTTTCCAAAGGATACATCTTCCTTGCCTCAGTTTTTTCTCCTGGGTATCTAGGTAGCTATGTCTGGTTTGGCGCAGTTTTTTCTGTTTTTCACTTGGTTTTGAAAGTGGGGCTGTTAACACAGAAAAATTTAAGCTTGTTGGACAGTTTGAAGCCATGTCTCTATAAAAATACAGAAACATTAATCTTTGTGAGATTAAACAATCTATCCTGAAGTGAATTTGGGAAACACAGAACAAAGATACCCACCATATCTTCCAAAGTACTCAGCCCAGTTCCATTAACAGCTGAGTAACATTCGTTAGACCCATATAAATGCATGGAATGTGTAGTTTTGGTCATTGATTTGGATGATGTAAAAGAATGTGTGTCTATAATATATATGTAGTTAATTTGTATTGGAAATAGTTGGAAGGATTTTGAAAGAAATATTTCAGTTGAAACTGATCTTGAGAAATTGCCAAAAGTGTCTGAAATTACTAATATGAAAGAGCAAAGACAAGTAAAAAATGCTACACACATAAAGGAAAAATCAAATGCAAAATGCTAAACTTTACCATTTATCTGGAAAATACACTCTAGGTTGTGGAGGATGTAGAGTGAACACTGGACTACTAATGTGATTGTGTTGACAAAATTTGGACCATAATATGGGGGGGTCTTTATAAGTTGAAGGATTTTTCTCTGCTGCAACATCTGACAGAAAGCTGAATGTCAAAGACTATGGTTTATGTTAACACAGACCTTTTGCTACATTTTTCTGTTCTCTTAGGGAGTAAAGGGATGAGGACCAAAAAAGCAGCTGAATTATTACTGTTACTGAAAACTGAGCAGATGTAGAAACAGTTACAGAGGAAAAGGAGAAAAAACAAAAAATGAAGAAAAGGTAGAGTGATGCTTAAGCCAGCTGCCAGTTCACCCAGCATTGTACAGACTCCAGTTCAGGTGTCTGATTTGCAAGAGCATTATGGCCATAAACCAGGTGATACTGAAATGCAGCAAATAGAATCTTAGCAATGCAGACATAATAGTGGCCGATACATTTGGATTTCTGTTGGTTCTCATCAACAATTAATAACATTTCCAATAGGTATGGGAAGACAACAATCAATATCACTGAGCCTTTAGAAGCTGGGTGTACATCCCAGTTCACAAAGTTAAAATCACTGGAGTAAACAGAGCAAGTTTTATCTGCAAATCCACTAAGGCTAATTTATAGCTCCTGTGTGGGAAATTGATGTCAGCTACTTGCTTTGCAATTAAGGACCACAATGAAAACATTTTGGGTTTTGATGTTCTGGACTACCAAACCTGGTATCTGCAGGATGGCAGTGTGTTCATTAACCTGAACTGTAAAAGAAATCCAGAGACTGCAGTGAGTTTGCTCTGCATGGCGCCTGGTCTCCCTTAGTTTAGGATCCTCAATCTAGATCTGGATTTTTTCTGAGTCATGAGGTAGAATTTCTGAAGTTCTAATTGATTTGGCCCCCCTAGAAGCTGTGGAACCCAGTAATGCAAAACTAACAGTCACAATACCAGAAGTTCTTGGGCATTGATAAGGTGCTGACAGATTTGGATGGAAGAGATTATTACTCACTCACATCCCTCTTGTGATTCTCCTGTCTGGCCAGCGAAAGAGCTGAGCATCACTAAATATGAACTTAAATGACATTTGATAAGACCTTTCATGGAAAACCTTCCCTTGCATTATTTTACATGGTTGAACATAAGTCTTTATTTTAAACAAACATCCCTAGATTCATTAAAAAACTTAAGTACTCCTTCCTTATAACACAGCATGCAGATTCCATCTTCAAAGCCAGTCTGAAGTACAGAAGCAAGCATACACTACTTTTTTTTATACCAATGGTTAATAAGAGGGAAAAAAAAGAAACTAAACAAATCATAACTGTCATTGTGAATAGGTGATCACACCAAGCTTCATGGAGGGAAGATGATAGTTTTTTTCTTTCCTTAGTGAAAGTGTTTTCACATATGATGTGAAATGGCAAAAGAGAATATAATTCAGCCTAAGAATGCAAACTTAGGCTGAAAAGATTTTTTAACTTTTTGAGGTATAGTGATAAACAGTTAAGTTAAATTTACTTCTAGTAAGTATAAGTAACCTTAGATCACAGATTTCAAATAGCTTATCATTATTGATTTTTTTTAACCCAAACCAAAAGGGCTGTATTATCAAAAATAGAGTCTCTTAAAATTTCTGGTGTTCTTATTTCTACCAGAAGCCTGCACTATTACTTAGTACAGTCTTGAGAAACATGCAAAAAAAATTTAGAAAAAATATTCCATGACAAAATTAACTTCCACTTAAACACAAAGGTCTTAAATATTAAAGGACTGAGAAAGAGAAGACAACAGGTGTTTGTTTGTGTTTGATTGTCATTTTGTTTCTATTCTTAAGACATGTCTGACTACATAATTAAAAGGTGATGGAATCAAAGATTTTTTGCAGTGTAAGTAAGTAATGGCCAGCCTTCGTGAACGAAGAACCGGGGAAGGTCTTTACACCTTCCAGCCTGCGCATTGGATTTTTTAGGTGAGACACAGTGTGCGCGGAACTGAGCCCACCCTTTAATCCTGAGGTTCATCTGCCGGGGCCAAGCACGCTTGGATGGTGGCATAGACTCCAAATAAAACCCCAAATACAAAAATATATCAATAATATCTAGATTATAACAGTTGTGTCAAATAATGATATCTGAGGTTCAAAGAAATGTTATGTCAACTGTTTTTCCCATACTATTGGTTTATTTTAAAGTATTTTTCTTTTTTCAAACTATAATACAATTTCTCCTATTGTGGGTAGGGGTCAGTCCCACGACACGATCCAGTGGCACATTTTGTATGGGGAACAGGACACACACAAGATGTGACCCACAAAATGGCGTTTATTAAAACAAGAAGACAGCTTATATACAGGGGAATACAGAAGTTTCGGGAATAGAGGAGGGTTTCTGCTAGGAAACATCAAATCCTGAGGTTCAGTGATAAGGGGACTTGGGGAAGTAGGCTGCAGGGAACATGTCTGGTCACTCAAGGGGCAGGAAGAGCTAGGGAATAATGGAAGGAGTGTCCTGGGTGCACAGACAGGGGAATCTGCTGAGGCTGCAAGGCTGCGGCCTTGTAGCTGGGTCTTAAGCAGTTCTGTGCAGCTACAGTTGCTAGAAGTCTTCTAAATAGATCCTTTCTTCTGAGCCTTCCTTGCAGCTTTTTTGCATCTCTCTCCACTCTCTGTAGGCCTCCTCTGGTCCACCCTGACTTAATACATGTCATAGTTCCACAGGTTCTATTTTACTTTGCAAGAAGATGAAAACAACCTTGAAAACCAAACTGAAAACACCATATTTTGAAATACATCACAAGTATTGTAGAAACTGGTAATTGTAACTCAGTGATTTGATTACACTGAGTTTATTCATTTACTTTAGCATACTGTTATACTCCCACTCCAGCACACTGATAAGAAGCATAACATTACAGCAGGCAAGCCATGCCACTCATAGCTAATGGTCCTCCAGCATTACAATTACATTTAAAACATTTTGCCTAACTGGGGCTTTTATTACACACTTATCTGAATACAAAATTTCCCTTTAGGCTGAAACTTGTCATAGACGATAATCTCAGAAAATGAAGCATTTTGTTCTTTACATTTTTAAGTCATTGCTTAAAGACCTATTCAGAAGAAGTCAGAAGAAAAGTTCTGAAGTGCTCCACTGCTTATGTATGACCTATGTATGAATTATGTATGTACTTCTCATACCTAAGTGGCCACTACAAGAAGTAGGGGACACACTATCGGATGCAGTGAGAAAGGGATTTTTTGATTGTACAGTGCTAATTATGAGAGGTTTTGTAGAGAAGACAGAGGTGGGGAAGGGAGGGATCCCGATCACTTTGGGAGAAATGGGTACAGGAAAATAGAGGTAAAAAAAGATAAAAAGGGCCAGTGTAAAAGTCAAATACTGAGGTCCAGAGACAGCTACTGGGCAGACTGATTGTCTGAATCCAAGTCATGATTTAAACCCAGATACACATTAAGCACCACACAACTGTTCACTCAGTCTCCCCCTTCCCCCCCCCCCCCCCCTCAAGTAGAGTGGGGAAAAAATTCAAAGTAAAACTTTTAGGTTTAATAATTGAAAATACAGTAAAATATGGCAGTAATGGTAAATGATACAGAAGGGAAAAACAAGTGATGCACAATAGAGTTGTTCATCACCTGATGACCAATGTCAAATGATCCTTCCTGAACCCAGATTGACCCCCCCTTCCAGGTAATTCCCTCCAATTTATATCCTGTACATGACACACTATGGTGTGGAATGTCCCTTTGATAGTTTCAGGTCACCTGTCCTGGCTGTGCTCCCTCCCAGTTTCCTTTGCGTACCTCCTCAGTGGCAGAGCATGAGACAAGAAAAGAGTCCTTGACTCAGGATAAACACGTCTTAGCAAAAACTAAAACATCAGCATGTTTCCAACATCATTCTCATTCTGAATACAAAATACAGTACTGTAACAGCTACTGAGAAGAAATTCACTCAACCCTAGCTTAAACTAGGACAATCCAGCCTCTGGAGGGAACATATATACATATGTAGTCATATAGATGTGTATATGTATGTGTGTATGTATATATATATACATATACACACGCACATGTGTGTGTGTCTATGTTGATTCCCACTAGCAAACATCCATCCTGCTCAGCTAGAGGGCGAAGTAGAATGAAGCCATTGATCTTGTTTGTGTTTGTGTGAGTACTGTGTTTGTTTATATTAACCTTTGTGCATGGCCATGTGTACATATGCATATATCTCTCTATATAAGTATATATGTATATGTACATATATACATACATATATGTGTGATGTATGTATATCACATACACGTTTATCTGTGTGCCCATTAGAAATACATGCTCAGACTTGCTGCCAGTTGGAACTGGAGACATGGTGCCTCTCTGAGTGCCTCCGCAGCCAAAAGCTGCTGTGAACAGAAACGGAAAAGGAGGGTAGTTTTTTTCTTCCTTGCATGCCAGGTATTGGAGGTTGCAGTGACAGGGATCTGCAAGCACCTCCAGTCTCCCCGGCAGTGGGAACACTGGTTGTTCACATCAGTCCTAAGCATAGTGCAGTAGTAGATGCCAGAGGGTTGGATCTGTCCTGCAGTCACTCTGTAATCTGGTGATAAGGCCATGCATCACTGGCATGATATAGCCAACTGATTTTAAGACCACAGAAAAATGAGCAGGAAGTGAGGCAATGACTGCAGAAGAGATGTTTACTTGGAGGATAGAGTAGTCAAATAGAACCATTTCACCTTCACACTGTGTGTTGATTCTGTGGAACCTGCTGAGGAAGTTTTAGGGAAGAAGGAAAGCTGAGAAGCACACTCAGAGGAGGAACTGGAGTAGAATCTGAGCCTCACTACCGAGAAAAAACAGACATGAAAAAAAGTTCAGATTGATAAGAGATGAGTGCAAAGGAACTGAGCCTTATATTAGAGTGACTAAAACAGGATAGTAGGGTCAGACAGCCTATTCTTTTTTCCAACAGACAGTGAAATTCAGCAACCGTGGTAAGTACATTCCCATAATTTGTTTTTTTCTTTGTCTCTGTTGTTAGTGTTAAATATTGGTCCATTTTAAGAAGGCTGTCCAGTGACTGTCTACCAGGAAAGGACAGACAGTTGTACCTCCAAAGTAAGAGCAAGTGAGGGTACCCCTGAATCAACTTGTGAGAAAAGAGTCTGAAACATCTTAGACAAGGGATGAAAAGGTGGGAGGTCTGACAACTGGGTTGGGGGTCAGTCAAGATGGTAATGACAATCAGCCAGTTCTGCATTCTCAACTGTTGCAAGAAAGATCAACTCCCCGTTGACCCTGAACTTGTGCAGGATCTGCTGCTCCAGCTGCAACCCTACAAATCTATAGGGCCTGATGGGATTCATCCAAGAATCCTCAAAGAGCTGGCTGATGTCATCACAAAACCTCTCGATAATTTTTGAGAGTTGTTGGGAGTCCAGAGAGGTCCCAGCTGACAGGAGGCTGGGGCCTCCTAGAGGTTGGTGAACATTGTCCTAAATTTCAAGAAGGGCAAGGTGGACCCTGGAAACTACAGACCTGTCAGTCTCACTTCAGTGCCTGGTAAAGTTATGGAGAAGATTGTTCTGGGAGGTTTTGAAAACACCTGAAAGACAGCACAGTCACTGGTCACAGCCAGTACAGCTTCATGAAAGGAAAGTCCTACGTATCCAACCTTATTTCCTTTTATGACAAGGTAACCCACCTAGCTGATCAAGGGAAGCCAGGTGATGTAATCTTTTTGGATTTAAGTAAAGCTTTCAATATTGTCTCTCACAGGATCCTTCTGGACAAACTGTCCAGCCCACAGCTGGATAAACACATCATGTGGTGGGTGATCAGTTGGCTCATAGGTCGAGCAGAAAGTGTGACAGTGACTGGGGTGACATCCAGACTGATGACCTGTCACTGGTGGGTTCCTCAGGGTTCTATGTTGGGCCCTGCACTCTTCAACATCTTCATGAGTTAGACACAGGACTGGAAGGTATATTAAGCAAGTTTGCATGCAACACAAAACTGAAGTCCCTTGAAGGCAGGGAGGCCTGCAGAGAGACTTTGACAAATTAGAGGACTGAGAAATCACCAACCATATGAAGTTCAGTGAGGGGAAGTGCCGAAATGTGGACCTGGGATGGGGCAATTTGATGCTGGAAAGCAGAAAAGGACCTGGAGATCCTGGTTGATGGCAAGTTGAATGTGAGCTAGCCCTGGCAACCAGGAGGGCCAGCTGTATCCTGGAGGGCATCAGGCAAAGCATCGCCAGCAGATTGAGGGAGGGGATTGTCCTGCTCTGCTCTGCACCAGAGTGGCCTCACCTGGAATATTGTGTGCAGTTTTGGGCACCACAATGTAAGAAAGATATTAAGCCATTAGAGAGTGTCCAAAGGAGGCCAGTGAAGATGGTGAAGGGTCTTGAGGGGCAACTGAGGTAATTTTGTCTGTTCAGCCTGGAGAAGAGGACACTAAAGAGAGACCTCATCACAGTCTATAACTTCCTTATGAGAGGAAGACAAGGAGCAGACAGTAATCTTTTCTCTGTGGAGACCAGTGACAGAACCAGAGGCCTAAAGTTGTGTCAGGGGAGTTTTAGGTTAGACATTAGGAAAAGATTCTTCACCTAGATGGTGGTTGGACACTGGAATAGGCTTTCCAGGGAAGTGGTCACAGCACCAAGCCTGATAGAGCTCAAAAAGCATTTGAACAGTGGTCTTGGGCACATGATGTGACTCTTAGGGATGGTCCTGTGAAGGGCTAGGAGTTGAACTCTTGTGGTCCTTTCCAATTCTGCATATTCTGTGATTCTGTGATTCTAAAGGCCATTTTATAGGTTTATCCACACATTCTAGACCCGTTAGAATAAAGGTCTAACATTCTGACCTTTGGTAATATAGCAGTAAATATTAACAGAGTATTGGTTATTATGGCTATTCCTTGTCTTTGAGGAGTTTGTCGCATCTAATGTCACATACTTAAGCATATTTAAAATTTAATTATTTTTATAATTTTTAATTTTGCTTAATTTTATTCTCTGATTTCCATTTACCTGTTAAACCTTGAATTTCCTTTAAAAATTTGATCATTTTTCTTAAGTCAGAATATTCAAGATATATTGCCAAAAAGACCATAAAAAGGGTAAAGTGTGTCACGTAAGTAACTTTCATTGCTGAGTGAGAAATTGTGAATGCTTTCTGGATCTTTAAAAAATCACTGATGTACTGTGTGATCATTAAATCTGCAGCTGCCACAAGCAATGTAATTATTTAATTGCTCTATTACTAAGCAGTTCTAATGATCGGGACATTTTGTAATGAATGGGAAAGTCAAGAAAACATGGATGTGAGCACCTTTTAAAATTATTGTGCTCCGGGCCACAGATATATCAAATAATGTGTCTTCATTTAATAGTATAAGGATATCAGCCTGCATATATAAACCCTAAAATGGTGCTACTTCACCTGGGTCATTCAGAAAATATTTTCCTTTCCTTCCATTTTAGGACACCACTCAAGACTACATCATCTCACTGTTGCTCAGGAGTCACAGCTG